ATGGGCGTCGCCAGCATCGAATTTAGGGGAGCGCTGGCGTATAAGTAAAAAATGAGATATTTTGAAACACCGTATTTATTTTCTGATTTTGTTCGAATTTCGCGTATGTGGTTGAAACACAATAAATCATAGTTTTCAAAAAAATTTACCCGGAATTGGCGCTGAACTAGTGCTGGAAGATACATCGATGTTTTTGAATTTATTTCAAGCACCGAAGTTTTTTTCGCGATGTTCGATGTTTTTCTCTATAATCATCACATAGGTAAGTGAAAATCTACGAGCCCAATTTTAATAGATAAATAAAGCTTATTAAATACAAATTATTAATTCTTTAGGTTATTGGTGTTGGCACAACTTGAAATCTTTAAGTCGCAGGCTTCTTTGTAGGACTGCGTTTATGTGTGTATTTTCAATGAAAATCTTTCATCTTATGTTTATGTATGTATATAAATGTGTTTTTGAACGTTGATTCCAATAATGCCAATTCTATTTTACTGAAATCTTAATATGAATTATAAAGAAATAAATATATTGAAATTTACAAGACTTTTAATAAATTTTCAACAATATATGTAAATGGCTGTGTTTATAAACACAATAATGCAAAATATCACTCTCTTTAAATCAAAGTCCAAATTGAACTAATTTATCTTGTATGGTTGTGAAATTAAAGAGACTGATGGTTTGCATATCTGCCATTTGAAAAGGTTGATGAATCGATACATCGATGTCGCTCTCCCAAAAACATCGAAACATCGATTTGCGTAAACATCGATGTTTTTCCAGCACTACGCTGAAGTCAAAATATAAAGTAAATTCGACCTAAAATGTATGTTTTGTTTGCGTTAAAAATTCGTTGAGAAGCAATATTAACAAAAATATAACGAAGGAAATTTATGTCACGTCACGTAACATTTCATACTTGGGGTTGTAAAAGAAAATTGAAACAAGTTGCATTAACTCAAAAAACTCTAAAAACAACTACTGCTTTGGAGTAACCAAATCATATTAAAATAAGTTTCGTGAAAAGAGCCATCCATAATTCGCAGTTTTACGATTTTGTAAGAGAAGAAAAAATCAACTTCCATTTTTGTCACGTAACGTCACTCTATTTAATTACGCATATCTACTTAATGAACATGCTGTTCGATTGTTTTCTTTAATTTTTCGGTTATATATAAAGCTAGTTATGTGCTACACAAGGATCCAAAGAATGTAAAAGAAAACAAATGTTTTTCCTTCTTTGTATCTCATTGAAACGTTCGACTATCACGTGTGGAAATACCCATATCGCACACCGTCTTCAAAAGAGTCACAACTCAAAATTTGGCATTTTTGAAATTATGCGCTAAAAATGTACACGGAGCTTTTATTTACCTTCCAGAAAAAGCGGGAGCAAATTTTTGTTCTAATTTGTTTAAAAAACCTAAGGTAAAGTCGCACTTGCCCATATGATTAGCATGTGCTACGTAATAGTTTTTCGCATTTTCTGACGAACGTATTATTTTGAGTTGTGACTCTTTTGAAGACGGTGTGCGATATGTGTAAGCTAAATGGTTCCATTTGAAAAGACAATCTTAACTGACAGCCAAATATAAATTTAGTTTAGTAAGTAGAGTGGAGTATTAAACTTACATTTTATTGACTTGTTTTCATTCAAATAGAAGAATATTAACAGGAAATAGACTAATATTTTCTTACTACAAAAATATGTAGAACAGGCGTATAAAAAATTAATAAATGTAAAGTAAATACATATTGTCACCCTTATGCCAGAAGCATGAAAGTGCAAGTTTGTCAGTTTTGAGTTATTGGGTTGACTTGATTAACCTTTGGATGTTCTATGTTATACCAAAACCCAGAATACAATGTATGTTTGTAGCATGCGGGTGACGATATGTACTTAAATATTTTTTTTTTAATTATTTAAAAAGCAGACGTCTCGGTTGCTCAGTAAACCGGTTAATCATTTCTGCAACCAATTTTTTCCTAAATTTCTTTAATGCGCCGTAAACTTGGAAACATCAATGCATCTATAGTTATGCTCCTGGGTGTATACCCTGGAAAAATTAGTTCAGTTTTTTCTGCAGTATGAAGATTTTTCTTAAGTTTTGACTTCCATATGTTTTGTATATTCCTAAATTGCAATGTTTCTTAAAAGAGAAAACTGTTGAAACAACCATCGCACTCTCCTTTAAATGATATAAAGCGCATGCAATTCACTTTCTTAGAAATAATAACAGAAACTATTTCAACAAAAAAAAAACTACAAAAAAAAATTAGAAAAAACTGCAACAAGTTTTATGTTAGGTCAAAAGAGTGTGTCAAAAAAAAGTTCACTATTTTATTCAGCACCAAATCGCTTTTTGGTGTTTTTGGCTAGTACTATTATTTTGTACGATGCATTCAAATAATTGAAATCATTTTTTTAGTTCGTTTGTTGGCTTCAGGTCGTGGAGTTCTAAGATTTTTCCACTAGAGATCTCCTTTTCTTTCTGCGTACTTTATTTTGTATCCTCAAGCTATTCAAAAATGCGTGGGGAGCGAAAAAATTCGGATGTTTGCAATTTTCATATATCTCGGAGGTGCTCTAATATATACCTCGATTTCTTTAGGTGCTTACACACAACTGCTATGTGAAAAATGTAAATCAAGTGAAAAGTCTTAAGAAAACGGATTTTTTCATTATACATACACTACGTATAATGGAAATATTCAAATCAAATACGCCCGTATTAAAATGAAGCATTTTCACTGCACGGATTTTTT